GTCTCCTGCAGGACCACGGTGGCCATATTTCCCCATCCCAGGGTTCTGTCCACACCCACACTGCACTCCTGGTGTGGAGGTGTGAACTGATAAACACAATCGAGAAGAGTGCGAGTCACCGGTTATAGATTAGTAAAGAACATAGATCACAGGTACAAGGTTTTGATAAGTGAGACAGGACAATCATCTTGCTTTAGCAAGACTGTCCCGGGCCTCAGCCTCCATTTTGCTGCCTTCTCTAAAAACGGTTACAAGAGCTGTTTCTGAGAAGCTGAAACGAAAGCTGTTTTCTTATTTTGAAAACTTGTGTTTCTGCACTTTGTACCCCACACCCTGAGCCCTACTCAGGATGCAGCCTGGGCATGGGCATGGGGAGCTACACCCTGGGTGTGAGTGCCCTTGGGGGTCTACGTGACTTTGAAGTAGATTCTTGTCCCGCCGACCCCCACCCAAGTTCAGGGGGTGACTGTCTAGCACCTGCTTGGGCCCGGGACTGTGGTCATCTCAGGCGCAGAGCTCTGCATTTTTAGCTTCTGTTTATCGCTTGCTTGCTGACTGGAGTCCTGCCCAGAGCCCACGGTCCCATTATCAATGTTTTAATTTCTGTGATAAGCACGTCACTGAGTTGGGGTTTTGTGCTTTCTCCTTGGGTGGACAGGAAGCTGCTGTCCTCCCACAGAGCTCGAGTGGCAGTCCCTGGCCAGGTAATTCAGACTTAGCAGCTTTCTGGAATGGCTCCCCATGGCCCTGGGAGGCAGGCCCAGCTGGCTGGGGGGGTGAGAGCTGGCCGCCTCCCGAGGCCGAGGCCCGCAGAACCTCTGAAGGGTCAGCCACATCTCGCACCCACTGTGTCCGGCTCTGCTCTTCTTCCGTCGTCTGTTTGGGTCGTGGTGGACTCAGGTGGACTCAGGTGTTCACTTGACACGTGGGCCTATGACACAGTGCAGTCCTATCAGTCACTTGGCTGTTCAGAGTGGCCCTGGAAGACTCTTTGGTTGCCTCATGATCCCTCTGTCAGAACACCATCATTTTTGTCTTATGTTTTAGCATTTTCTCATTTTCTGTCCCACAAGATGCTCCACGACCCAAATGTCCACCAGTGAGACACCGCGTGGCCCATCCACATGAGGGAACATCACTCCATCTCGGAAAGGAAATCGGGACGGACCCCTCCTACCACGTGGGAGAACCTCAGGTCACCAGGGGGTTGTCCACAGAGACTGTCCTGGGCTGGAGGGAGGCCAGGTGGCTGCGGTGACACAGGGCTTCTTTTCTGCAGTAATAAGAATTTGAACCTAGACTGTGGCGATGGTCACCCAGCTCTGGGAAGGCTCCAGGAGCGACAGTTGCTCTCAGGCTGTGAACGGGGTCTGGACCAGGAGGGTCAGGCAAGGCTTCTGGCCCTGTGCGGCTCCTCGTCTGCCCCAGACCCGCCACCTCTCTGCCCAGTGGCACCCCTGTGTTGGGGCAGGTTTCGTGGGCTGAGCAGTGGAGCCCATCAGTCTGCAAATCCACACCCCTGAGGCCCTCCAGTGCCAGTGCCGGGCCACTCAGTCTTCCGGATGACAGCTGGACGCTGGTGATCTTGAGGGACAGCCCAGAGCCTCACAGTGCAGGTGGAGTGAGCCCATGCCACCGGCTTTGGGTCCTCCCTAGATGTCCTTGTCTGTCCCCTGAGAGGACCTGAGATTCTTCCATGCTCCCTCTGACTGATGCCAGCCCAGGGCCTGGACATTCTGCTGTCCTCAGCATAGGGGTCCTCCGTGGGTACAGAGCCCCCAAGTCCAGTTGTCCCAGTCCCCAGCACAACCCCTTTCCACACTTGCCTCCCAGTGGAGATGCCCGAGTTCAGCCCGGGCCCCTCCCCAGCCTTCCCTGTGTCCCAACTCAGGGGGCCTCCTGGCTGAGCGCCCAGCGCCTTCAACCAGCTGGACCAGTGCGCCTCTGCCTGGGGTGGGGGGCACATGATGGGCACAGGGGGTGCTAAGAGGTCTCAAGTGTTGTTGGGGCTCAGCAGGCAGCAGGTGGTGAAGCGGGGAGGCACACGGCCTGGACCCTCCTCATCCAGGGGTCTGGGTGCGTCCAGCCACCAGACCACACTGAGAAACCCCGCCAGAGGCCTTCCTCAGCGCGGCTCCCTCCACAGGGCTGTGAACGGCATTCAGACGGCATCAGGGGCCATAGGTGATCCAGGGGTGACTCCAAGGTCCAGGAGGAGATGCGTAGGTCAAGTGCAAATGCTGAGCCATCCTGCGTGAGGGCCTCGAGCGTGCAGTCCTAGGTCCCGGACCCACTGCTGCAGAGACCAGCAACATGTGCTGCTGCCCCTGCCAGCCGAGCAGGAGAGTGCGGGGTGCCTGCCCACCCACCTCCAGCTCCACACCCCACAGGTGGGAGCAGGCAAAGTGGAGGCTGGGAAGGGCCTCAGGAGGGAGAGAGCAGAGCAGGCCTGGGCCCTGGCTCACTGGGAAGTCTCGGGCTCCTAAGGGGACGCAGGGTCCTTCCTGACAGTCAGCTCGAGCTGGGCCTGGTAGAGCACCAGATGTCTGACCAGGGCAGCACCCCACCCTGGCCCCGTCCCTCGCCTGCCCTGCTCATCCCTGCCCTGCATATCCCTTGTGGGCTGCTCTGGAAATGGAGGCCAGTGCCTGGTTGGTGAGGCCAGGGGTTAATTATGGCCCTGAGTGAGCATGGGCTACAGCTAGTGCACACCCAGCTCATAAAGGAGTGAGTCTCCGATGCCTGATGAGATTAATGAAGAGGTCACAGCCAGGCCGCAGCCTCCCCAGGTCCCCCGCCCACCAGCCCCCAGATTAGAGGTCTCCCTTTTCTAGGACCGCCTGAGCACCTCCCCCTGGGGCTGAGGGATCTCTGCCCCGAGAAGGCCCTTTGAGATTCGTTGAGTGCAGCTTTTCTCATTCCTTACTTTCATGGGTTCCTGACAATACAGACCCCCATCTCGGACCCTTCTTGGGCCAGGAGTACAACCCGGCTGACTCTGCCAGCACCGAGACCGTGGCATCCAGCAGGCCCTGGCTCACCCTGTCTGGGTGGCTTGTCCTCCACTTTCAAGGGTCCATTAGGACGTCCACCTTCTCCAGAAAGTGCAGCCTGCCCCTGCCCTGCTGTCACCTGGCTGTGATCACTCCTGCTACTGTTGTTCCCACCACACACACAAGCCACCCCAGGCCCTTTGTCCTTTCACTGGTCAGGAGTCCTGGGGCAGGGAAGCCTGGGCCTAGCTGCTACTCCCCTGTCCCTGCTCTCAGCTCTGTCCCTTTGCACTCTGGGGCCAGTGGAGCCTGTGCAGGGTGTATGGGCTGCGGGCGGGGAGCAGCTCAGGGTGTGGGGATGGAGGAAGCTTGTTCTGATCCAACTGTCCACTCCCTGGCCACTGGCACAGCCTCCTGCTCGGGGGGAAAGGTCCGTCCTGCCCTGAGGGGCCCGTCCAGAGCCCACCTGAGGGCGGTGCCCAGTGGGACCTGCTCTGGGCCACCTCCACTTCCCTCAAGGGCTAGGCCCAGGGCCTGTGTGCTGCTGGCTGCCGACAGTCCTGTCCCACCACACTCTTCCCACTGCCTTCCCTGCCACAGAGCCAGAGAACCTCGGGTCAGGCCGAGGGCTGGGGCTGCATCTGGGGAGGTGCCCAGGCCTCAGGTTTGGTCCCAGTCCCAGGCCAGCTCTAGACAAGGCTGGCTATGGGCCTGGGAGACTGGGGCTCGAGCACAGGAGGAATGAGCCCATGCCACTGGCTCTGGGTCAGCCAGGCCCTCCGGGGCCTGCCCAGCCTGGCTGCCCAGCACCAGGGGCTCCAGGCTCAGAGGAGACAAGAGTGGGCTGAGCAGAGCCCAGGTGGTCAACCTGGGCGTGTCCAGCCGTGTCTGCCCTCACAGCTCACAGAGGTGTCCCTGTCCCAGGAAGGCTTATGAGAGCCCAGGCCTCACCGTCCCCCACGACAAACAGAGGCTCACACACCATGTGTCCAAACGAGGGAAGTTCTAAGGAAGTCTAACACACAGTCAAAATAAAATAGGCCATCCCAACCCCCTGGAGTGCCTGGTATGTGCTGACCCCCATCTCCGCTCCCCAGCCCCCTCCTCACAGCCCACCTCCCTCCTGGACCTGACAGATGCCCCTTCCACCTGGGGCCCAGAGCAGGCAGCCAGCAGCTTGGCCACCCTCCAAGGGGCGGGGAGAGAACCTTGGGCACCCAGGTCCCCATCTGAGTGCCTCGTGGGCCTAGCCAGGACAGGGCAGGTGGTGTTCTAGACAGAATGAGTTCTCCTTGGGTTCCGTGTTGTGAGCACAAGGTCCGGAAGGGCCTGGAGGTAGGTGTCATGGTCCACACAAGAGGGCCAGAGCCACCTGGAGTGCAAGGGGGGGTCGAAAGGGACAGGGAGGCCTGGAGGCCAGCTATTAGACGGATGGAGGAGAGACCAGGGACCAGAGCTCCTCCCTCAGCCTCCAAGCCCAGCAAGACCCACCATGGACCAATGCAGGCATAGACCCTTTCCTGTGGCCCCTGGGCACCCTGGTTGCACCCTGGTCACTCGGCCGTTCCCAGTCCAGCCTGCAGGCCAGGCTCAGGAATCTGGTGGGGATGGCTGCTGGGTGCTGCTCGGCTCTGCCTCGGGTTCGGCTCTGTGGGTGATGGACAGTAGCACCATCAGCCCCAGGACAAGCCCAGATCTTCACCCTGCCCAAACCTCCATGTCAGAGTCAGCATTAGTCCCCAATAGGCCCAAACAGGTGTCCATCATCGACCTCAGGGAGGAGAGGTGGCTGGCCAGAACCCAGGCACAGCCAGAGTGGGGCACAGAGGACCTCCTGAGAGCCCTGGGCCCTGGGGGTGGGGCCGAGAGAGCCTGGGGGCATGAGTCAGGCCAGCCCTGCCATCCCAAGCTCATCTTCTTGCTAAATTACCAGGTCTGACCCCGGCACCCGCAGCCGTATAAAGGCACCCTTACCCAGGCGGCTCCCAGTCCTGACGGATGTCCACGATGAGGCCCCTCCTGGTGTTGCTGCTCCTGGCTACTGTGTGTACTGCCCTGGGTAAGGCTGCAGCCGGGGCGGGGCGGGCTCCCCTGCAGGGCGCGGGGGCCTGGGCACTGGCGAGGCTGGCTCTTTGCGAGGAGACCAAGTGCTCCCTGGAGCCTCAGCCTGGGTTGGGGGTCACAGGGAGTGAGGGGAGCCCCTCAGGCAGTCCCCTGCCTGGAAAAATGTTGCGGCTCTCTACTTAGGGCCTGGCTCTTGTGGAGGCAGAACTCTGGCGGAGGGCTGGAGAGGCAGACTGTGTGCCCCGGGCACTTCCATCCCCTTCCCCCAGGACAGGGTTCCTGGGGTGCGAGTCACTCTAGGAAGGAAGTTCCCAAGCAAAACAGAATGAGTGGGTCACCCCCCTCAGCCCACTCTGCCCGGAGCCTGATAAGCTGGTTTGGGGACAGAAATGAGGCCGGGGGTGGGAAGGGATGTTCTGCAGCAGGCCATTATCAGCTGAATAATTATCACTTGGAGGATAATTAGCCCCCTCAGCTTGCCCTGGGGGTGTGGAGAGGGAACCTTGGGGATCCATCCAGCGGGAGGGACACCTTCAACAGGAGGCTGGAGAGGCAAATGCAGGGGCATTGGGCAAGGGCCTGCGGCTGACTCCAGAGGACATGGCAAGGTCAAAGCTTAGGCACTCACCAGAGGAGGCAGGGTGCTGGACGATCCCAGGCCACAGCACCTCTCAGGTCTCACCAGCCCTGGTCAGGACACCGCTGTGGGAGAGAGGGGCTGAGAGGCCTGGGTCAGGAGGTCGGACACTGGCCAGACCTTTACCCTAGGGCTTAGCATCTGTGGCAGCTGATGAGGACATACTAAGGGTCATCCTGGGGTCTCTCACAAGGGCCCAGGGCAGAGGGTCTGGAGAATCTCAGGAAAGAGACCCAGCTAGGGTCCTTGCTCAGAGAACCCTGGGGTGCCTCTCGGGCCTGGCAGGACCAGGGACCAGCTGCAGAGAGAGGAGGCAGAAATGGCCAGGAGTCACCCCAAAGGCAGCTATGTCTCCTGGGGTGGTTCCAGAGCCCTGACCTGAGAAGTGTGGCCTCTGAGCTCAGAGTGGGGACTAAGCACCCTCCACTCTCTGCCCAGGGCCGTGACAATGGCTGTACATGGGCTGACCCTGAGTGGAAGGTGTGACCACCTCATCGCACAGGTGGGGCTCTTCAGTCACAGTAGGTGTGCACATCCAGGGGAACCAGGGCACCCTACAGACCACCCCTACAGGACTCCTCTACAGGGCACCCCTACAGACACCCCTACAGGACACCCCTACAGGACACGTCTACAGAGCACCCCTCAGAGAACCCCTACAGAGAACCCCTACAGGACACCTCTGCAGGCCATCCTTAGAGGGCACCCCTACAGGACACCCCTACAGACACCCCTACAGGACACCCCTACAGATACCCCTACAGGACACCCCTACAGGACACCCCTATAGACACCCCTACAGGCCACCCCACAGGACACCCTTACTGGCCATCCCTACAGTCACCCCTACAGGACACCCCCATATGACAACCCATGGGACATTCCCTACAGAACACTCCTTACAAGGCACCTCTCCCGGCAGCCCAGCCTCCACACAGGATGCCGTGGGGGGCCTCCTGGCCCCGGCATGCCCTCTTGCAGCCCCCAGGTCCTTACGTCTCTTTAACTACCACGTCCCTTCCCCAGACTGCCCACAGAGATCCTTACTGCAGGCCAAACTCTGGGCCTCCCACTCCAGAGGACCTTTCCAGGTCACCCTCTTACTCTGTGGAGACAGCGTCCACAGAGTGACCATTGTATCTTCTGCTCCAACCCACTGCAGGTCATACCACTGTCCCTGGGCCAGCCACACCCAGGCAATTTGTCCTCTGTTAAGGGAAGCCTTGACACAGTCCTTGTAGTCAGAAGCTGGGGTAACCACAGAGCACCAGAGCCAGCCATCTCCAGGGCTGCCCAGCTCCTGACCACTGGCAGCCTGGACCAAGGCCTTTTGCTGCAGACTCTGTTCATCCCAGGGATGAGGGTCACCTCATCCTGGAGGCTTCTGCCCTCCTTCCTCAAGGAAGGAGAGGACTGGACACACACACATCATGCATTACACCACTCCATGATCTGAGAACTCCAAGAGCATCACTGTTAATCCCATCTCATAGGTGAGGACACCCTGGCCCAGACAGGGAGGGGACAGGGATGGTGGGATTAAAACCCAGATCACCTCTGAAGCCAACCAGCCCACTCTGCACAGATCCTGCTGCTGAGGACTATTGCTTTCTACCACCCATTCATGCACCCACCCACCCACCCACCCAGTCATCACCATCCATCCTCCCACCCATTCATGCACCCACCCACCTAGTCATCACCATCTACCCTCCCACCCATTCATGCACCCACCCACCTAGTCATCACCATCCACCCTCCCACCCATTCATGCACCCACCCACCCAGTCATCACCATCCACCCTCCCACCCATTCATGCACCCA